CAAGCCACTTTCGTTGACGGCGCGCACCATTCATATTCAAAAAACCTACCACAACACTTCCTTGTTTTCGGTTCTTGGTTATTGATCTTCTTTTCGGAACGTAAGCAGGATCAACTGCGTCTTGTGCTCCCGCTCGCGGCCTTTCCATCACTTCTGATTTTGCATAGCTTCGACCTGCTGCTGGACTACTTGTTGCACGAAGTGTAGCAACTCCAGTGATGGGGGAGCAGGAGGGGGTCGAAGAAAATTCTTGTTGATTGAGAAGCTTGGCCGGAGACCCGGCACTGTCGAAGGTCTGTTGATCTGAGCAGTTGCACTCGGAGCTGGGAAGGACGGAGGAGCTAGGAGGCGGTGGAAGTCTCCGCGGAACAAATTGTTCGGCGAGCTTTCCGACACAGGGGGTGGTCTGTCCCAATAATGAGTGTCCCTGATTGGCGTCATTGTAGAGGTTTGTCTTTTCGGGTGTCCAGGGCATACCGTGCACGCAGGAGAACTCCGCATTTCGAGTCCCGCCAATGGTGGGTATTCCCTCTGGTACTCTGATGCCAATCCTGGGCCGATCAAATGCGGTGCTTGCTTGTGGCCAGGGTCCCCGGGCTGCGTATGTGGTCTCATGGTGTGCCAAGGGACGCGGTGTGCCCCAGAAACCAGGCCTGGGCTGTCTTGTTTCATATATTGCACGCGATGGGCTGGTGCTTGCCTTCTGTGTTGCCTGCTGTTCACTGACGGTCTTATTTGTTGGTTCCTTTGTTGCCGGAACCCTAAAAAACGATTTGCCACAACCCCCAGCCGGTTTTTCACTACATGCACCGCTTGTGAAGAATAGTGAAGACCATCCTTCTCGAATGCACTCGTGTCTTCGAAGTCTCGTGTAAAGCCTAGAAAGCGTGCTTTGGTGTTCTTGCAGCGCCATCTTGATGTGCTCCTGCGAACTACCTCAAACATTCCAAGGCGGGTATTCGGGTGTATCTCAAAAGGTCCCATTCGCATTTGAACCTGGCACGTTTCGTCCCTTTCTCATTTGGTCCTTCTCGTTTGAACCTTTTCATAAGATCCAAATTGCATTTTTCGCAACTGGACCCATTCTCATTTCGCCCGTTCGCGCTACGACCGAATGGTACTAGCTCGGCATGCTTCTAACGTCGTTATGCCTTCGCGGCTTTGTTGATATGCCTTACCTTGCTTGGGCCCCCAACATACCATCAGATATATGTTATGTGTAGGGGTACGCACTGAGAATCGTACAATGACGCCTGCTTGCCTTCCTCTAAGCAAACAAAAAAAAAAAAGCGATGAACGTTTAATTTGGAAATTTCGTTTGAACACAAATAGCGTACATAATAGCAGTGGTTCTCAACCATTGATGTTTCGCGGACCCCTTGTAGAAAGGCGGAGATGACGGAGGACCCCGTTTGGGGTGAGGGGAATATAAAGGTATAGGGCATCATGATAATGATTTAATAAATGAATATAACTAATTGTTAGTGTGAAGTAGACTTGTCTCATTGACATACACACGAGACTACTCACCCGAAAATTGGAACGTTTCTTCTCAACGTGAAGAAAGACAACTAATATTGCCGTGCTTGACTGATGAGATAGGGATTCGCGGACCCATAGGATACCTTCAGAGACCCCTATTTGAGTACCACTGCATTATAGAAGTGGTGGCATTGTCCCAAATCGAGAGACCTCAAACAACGTGACATTTCGGAATATGATCTGGCTTGAAAAATAGTTGGTCTGTTTTATTGTCAGCTAGTAGCTTTTCACGACGACCTCGACGCACTGCTAAAATCTTTAATAGAGAAAATATGCCATGCAGAGTGGCACATACACACACCCATGCATAAAATATATTAATGTATGTATTAATATTAGCCTCAAAACCGATTTTGGTATGGAAATAGTCAAGTGCGACGGGTCAAAGAGAGATATTTTTGAGAATGGCTGTTTGAAAGGGCCAGGTGAGAAGGGCGAAACGAGAACGGGCTCAAATGAGGAGGGTTGAAATGCGAAGGACGAAACGGGAAAGGGCCAAATGCGACAGGTCCAACAGAGAAGATCTTTTTGAGAATGGTTGTTTTGTGAAGGGTCAAGTGAGAAGGCCGAAACGAGAACTGGCTCAAATGATAACCATCCGGGTATTCGGTCAAGCCAATTTAACACCGCGAATCTCCTCGCTTTGCTACGGAGTGCGTGAATCTCTTTCCATTTGCCTGTTGTGAACGTGTTTTGTCTTTCTTTTTTTTTAGGGCTGTGCGACCAGCAGTTCGAACTATGGTTCGCTCCAGTTCGCTCCGTTTCCACCGGTCTTGCTCCAGACCTCGCTGGTGGACCGCTATTCTGGGGTTCGCAATGGGCCAGGCCTGGCTCCGACGTTCTTGTCCAGCTACCAGCCTCGCTCAGCACACACTGTCTCGCGCAAGCTCGTGTCTTCACCGCCGACCGCCTGTCACGTGCCCTCTGCCTCGTCCTTCACCCTCGGCTCCCACAACGTTCAGTGTAAAGCGGGCTCCAAGAGCCGCTTGATTAAAGCGGTAGAGCTTGACGGTCACCAGTCACCGGCTTGTGCAACATGTTCACCATTTTGAGCAAACGTGCGACAACTTTGCCCAAACGAGTGGCCCATTTGCTCAGACGAGTGACCGGTTTACCAAAGGAGTGACTTGTTTGCCCAAATAGGTGACCGTTATGGCTCATACGGGGGACCCCTTTGACCCATACGAGCGACCCCTTCGACAAACTGGCGACCGGTATGGCTAAACTGTTACCGGTTCATATGAACCCGTTTATTTTCATAAGGGCGCCAAATGCATTTTTTTTTTTCAGTAGGGCTGGAGTACTTCACGGCTCTGAAGCGGGTCGCTGAGAAGCATTTTTGATTGGGTATGAGGTCTGACGTTTAACGTTGTGTGCGATCCTTCCCGTCGTGCCGGACCCTGAAGCCTCGCCGTCAAAAGCCGGGGGTACAAATAGATAGTATCTGGGCGAAGGAACCAATGGTAGAGCTGAGCATAAACCTCTTTGGGTCATTGGCTAGATCAAAACACCACCACAGACATATCTCCTAGTGGTCATCGACAAGTTCACGATGTTTGTTGAGATATTTCCACGTCGAGCTCCGACTATAGTTAGGCCGTCTTGGAAAATATGATTGAGGTATTTTATCGGCATGGCTTCCCAAAAAGCATATTCAGTGACACTGGAAGCGTCTTCGTTTCCCGCTTGTGGAGGAACGTCATGAAGCACTTCGGCATCAAAGATCGCCACACGGTACCGTACCGGTACCGCCCTGCGAGGCAAAGGGTAGAGCGGCGTAACGCAACTGTAAAGCAGTGCCCGATGGCATACTGTAAGGACCATCGTGACTGGGACCAATGAATCTCAAAAGTTTTATTGGTGATAAGAACTCTCGAATGTGTGACCACAGGGTACACGCCAGCGTTTCTGTGCTACTGGGCGCCAGCTCCGCGAGCCATGAGAGCAAAACCCCCGTCAACTTTCTACACCAGACAGCCGAGCTCCAGGCTTTGTGGCAGAGGTGACGTCTAGGCTGCAAGACGCACACGAGTTTGCGCTAGAGAACCAGAGAACAGCCCAAGAAGCAGCAGCACCGCTAGCTCAACAGAAATCGACGGCAGTGCAAATTTAGGATCGGTGACCTAGTGCTCCATGATATGCACACTTTGTTCGATGTCAGCAAGGGCGTGGCGTCAAAATTGGTACCGAGACACTCTGGGCCATTCATGGTGGTGGGGAAAGTGGGGTTGAACGTGTATCGCTTGAAGGATCGCAACACTGGAGGACCAGCAGGACTGGCACATGCTGACGAGCTGCTGAGGTTTTATGAAAACCGGCTGAACATTTAATCTAAGGAGGGAGAATTGTAAGGTATGGGTTTGTCCAACGAGACTAGGCGAGCGTTGCCATGCAAAGCCGCCGAGTGGTTTCGGCGGTTGGAATGAGCGGGCATGATTTACGGGTGTTATACATAAAGTGTTTTATAGACGCTGGAACCTGACAGGTTACGTGCATGCCTTTTGGTTGGACACTCAGAACGTGAGTGCGGTGCGTTGCCACAGTAGTCGCACGACGCCTTCAACCCACAGGGCTGTCAGTCTCGGCTGTGGTCTCGGCTTCGAGAATGTTCCCGAAATTTAGAGGCGGGCGTCATCTGGGATAGCTTCCTCGACGCAGTGTCAACATTAAGGAGACTTGGCTGCGCGCAGCTGTCGCTTTATAATTTTTTCTTTCGTTTTCCGCGTCTTGGTGTTGTCGAGCTATTATGAGCACTTCTTGGAGCGTCAGCTTCGGGTCCCGGCAAACTTGGTCGGACAGGCGCGAGTCTTGCAGCCCGACGAAAAACATGTCTCGTACAATGGGGTCCTCCGCCGCATGCCGGGTAGTCGCACTTTTAACGAGGTTTGCCACGCCGTGAAGAACGCGTGTTTGATCTCGCCCGCCAACTGCGTGCGCTTGTGGAAGCGATTTGACTCGTACACCTCGTTGGCGGGGTGCACGAAGTACCCCTTGAGCTTTGCTGTGACGTCGGCGAAAGAACGGTAGGCCTCGTCGTCCGTCATGAAATGCGAAGGACCACGCGGGCTTGGATACCCATACAGTTTAGGAGGGTGCCCACCTTAGTTTATTCGGACGCGGCGGACAGGCCCGACATAAAGGAGTAATCTTCAACTTGCTGGAGCCAAACCTTAGATACCATTCAGTGGCTACACTAGCGCCCTCTACATGTACAAGGCTGGGCACATCACCAGCAGAAACGCGGGATGTGTTAAGGAGATAGGAAAAAGGGGAGAAGGGCATTTTATACATATCCCCCAATTGTTCACTAGAAATTTCCTAAATGTCTGGGCGAGGGTGCGATGACTTCTTCTGTTGTTCCCACGTAGCTCGTCAGAAATTTGCATAATTTTTTTCGCAGATTATTTTCGGTTCAAGATACTTTTTATTTCTGGTCATCTACCATCACCATGACTTGGTCCCAGCATAAACACCGCTCTTGCTTCTGCAGGTGTTCTTAAGTTTATGCCTTGTGGCTTCTGGTTCTGCGTCCCCTCAGTCTTTTCTTGCCGAGCAGTCGTGGGGTTTTTGTGTGGTGTGCACCTCTATTTGGCAGTCTTCGCCTGGTGGCAGAGTCCACTTCTCACTGTGTTCGTCCTTGGTCGAGTACAGAAGCCAGTATGAACACCCTGGAACGAGACAATTAGTTTTACACTTGACAGGGCCCGCTCTCTGTTCTATTTTGCACAATGGTAAGTCCTCTCAAGCTCTAATTACGAAAACAAATAATCGCCCCTTTCGTGCACTAGTGCTACGTAATAGGTAATATATTTTTGTGTTGCAATTAGGGCTGCGTAGAGTTTTAAAATGTATTCGGGAGTGCAAATGCCGAGATACATGTATTATAAGACCGAATTAGAAACACTGAGATACACTGGTCTTTCATATAACACGATTTCCCTGAGACACTCTAAACAAAAATTGGCAAAAAAGACTCGATAAACACCAGACACAGTTGCACGCTGAAAATTATGTTTTCGCGAGCAAAGGTACGATTATTTTCGAATGCAAATAGTAAGGCTTTTGTTCCTTTCTTTCTGTCAGTTTATGCACATCACTTTACCTCAAAATGTACATGTATTCCCGGATACTATCCCGAATGAGGACAAAAAGAACTATTGCCTTCAAAAGAAAACATAGGTACTCCAGGCCGACAACTAGTTTACATGCATGACAGAGAGTATCTGCTCGAAATCAACCCTGTGTTGCAACATTTATTTTTATAATATTGTAATTTTTTGGTCCTGATCTATCTATCGACTTTCAGATGAAGATTGCCTGGCGTGTTCCATATATGTAACACGCAGAAGTTCGACAAATAGAACCCGTTTACAAACCACGCTTTCAGATCGCCGCTGCTCTGGCTTAGACTTTCACAGCAAATACATCACTATTCATTTTGCTCGCTCGTTGAGAGCGGTGGTATCTTCTTTTTTATTCGCTGCTTTGACTTCGATATGTTTTTCGGACGCTGGCCAGGTTGTGGCCATGGATGAAAACAAAAAAACAAAAAAACAAATGGAAAGGAAACAAAATGGAAAAGGTGTATGCCGAAGCGCCCCCAAGAGTGAAAAGTGGGAACCGCCCTACCGCTCTCGATCTCGATGCATCCGCGCTATACAGCGCCGCGTGTGGCGCATTCACAGTTCCCAACCTAGATCACTTGTGCTAATCGGTTTTAATGTTGAATGTAGGATTTTATTGTAAATAAAATCTTGTAAATTTTTGTATCGGCTAATAACCTCTCTAGTTTACAATATGTATATTTAGGAAACTCTAAATATCGTATCCAAATGTCCTATTTTTGTCCCACATATATATCTTGCTGTACAGACATGTCGTCTTAATCAAATAAATTAATTAACGTTTTATTTTATTTTATTGAAAGCTTTTTTAAGCATTTTATATAAGTATTGTGACATTTAAAAAGGTCACTTTAAATAGTTTTCGTGTACACTTGACTTACACTTCTATTATTGTGTGAAAGGCTTCGTCGCGGCTGCAATACAATCTTTTTCCAGTTTTAGAACAATGGTTTTTTGCCTCACCTTCATCTCCTTTTTTCTTTTTCTTTAGAATGCTGAGAGTGCTGTTTGTACTCCGAATTGTATATTCCACAGTCCTGTTCACCAACTCTGAAAAGAAAATATAAAAGTAACTTGAATAAAAGGATATTATGTGATCACTATTTCAGGAGGCCTGTATAAATGTATAAATGCACGTCTTTAGGTTCCCCCCTCCCCCCTTTTTTTTTTGTTTTGAAAAGGAGAAAGCTGAATGGAATCGGTGACCCGCTGAGCATGACCGAACTCATCATGCCAAATAAAAGCTCCCCTCTTGTCATGTGCCGTCTTGACAACAAATAAAATTTATATGATTTAGTTTGATTGAATGAAAATGAGCGAACATTAATTACTTGTACTCGCAAACAAATATCCGTGGCTAGGCAGCCAAAACTATGTGAGCACGAATGCTCGCTTCCTTTGAGCGCGGATCAAAGCTGTGCAGGCGTGCCCTTTACTTCTCAAATGCCGCAGAAAGTCGTCTGCGAGTGAAGTTATTCGCTACAAAATTGGTCGCAATTTAATGAGTGGATTATAGCCTTCCTCAAAGACAAGCTATGATTTCGCATTTCCACATAGACTGGAGCAAAATACACGAGAAATACAGCTCAATATTGTGTTAGCTTTCCTCGACGGGTTCATATTATCAGGGGAGTTAATTATGGGAACAGCGTAAACATGAACTGATACCTATACTAGTAAATTTTATATCTAAAAGGAGAATATAAAACCAGGATTCTTGGTTCGCATATATAAAGTGTTCGCCAAAGGAAGTCAAAAGGATGTTTGAAGTTCAACCCTAGTTGTGGTGATAAAGTCCGGAACTATGGGAACATGGCGGTTCTTGAATAAAAATCGGCACGAGAAAAAATATTCAAGTTTTATAAAAACTAACGTCCACTCGACATGATCTAGTCGATAAAAAATGGCAATGTAGAAGCTGAGCGTACTGATTTTAGTAAACAATGAAACACCTCTCACCAAGAAAAAAAAAGTAACATTACCTTGCTTGATCACAAAGTTTATCGCAGAAATAAACGCTGTACGAACCTCTAGAGTATACTTTTTCTTAGTTGCACGGATATTTGGCCTAAGTGTACGTCGACGCGCAGCGAAATCTAATTTAGCTTTTTTGCCTTTAATCCAAGTAACGTCGTGTTCTCGAAATATTTAATTTTATCACAACATTTACTCTACTTTTAGATTGTATGTGAGCCGTAGTTTTTTGGGACCAGCACTATAAACGGGTTTCGTTTTGCTTCTAAGACCTTGCATATGGTTAAGTGGAGACAAGAAGGCTAAAATTCTTTTAGCAACGTTGTTGCGGTTTTCAGGGGTGCATAAAAGGCGCTTAGAATCCCTTAGCAATATAAACTCCCCACCGTGGTCGGCTGTATTTTTTTGCAGTTGCGTGAATATTCTGAGGAACGTTTTAAGCCCGATCTCTTCGCCAGTTTGCGGCGTGGTGTTTCTCCAAACAGTCATTATGTCCCTGGGAACAATTGGCTTGAGGCTTGGGTTAATTCAATCTCCAAACGCTGGGAGGAGTCAACTAAAACATGACACTTACACATGTTGGTATCATTCTCGAGTTTCTTATCTGCAGGAGGCAGAACAAAAATCACATTCCTTAAGGGAAGCTGTTTTCCCTTTGTTCCTAATCGGCTTTTGGTTCTTGGGTTCTTAAAAAAGAATGTATCCGTATCGAGTATTTTTAGGAAACAAAAATACAAAACTGATAAATAAATATTTGCTCTAAACTGCGGCGACAAAAGAAAAAAAGAAAGAAAAAGAATATCATTGTGAGGACAAAAAATGCTCGAGGTACACCTAAGCACTTCTTATGAGTTGTGAATGCGAAAGCACGCACGCCGCTCTTCGCTCCGTTTCGTCTGCGGCGCATACAACGCGCTGACCTTGGGCGCGGAACGGTGGAGCCGCTGCCTCGCGGACACGCAGCGCCATCGGGTGCGGGATCGTTCAAACTGACGCGCAGCGGCCAATGGGACCGAAGCCGAAAATTCATCAGCTTTACTTAGCTAATTTGGGATTGAGGAAACTAGGTGCCGTGTCTAGGCTTTTTGCGTGGTTTCATAGCTGTCAGCTGGCTACACTTAAAGAAAGGATTTAAGGTGCCGTTTTCGTGCTTCAAACTTATGACGTCGGCTCGCTCCACGAGACAGTTAATGCTTTCGCCTTAAAATACTAAAAAAAGGGCTGCGGTGACAACAGAAAAACAAGAATGATGAACATACACCAGATTGCTTGCGGCCTCACGCTTTGTTCGCAATTACTTGAAACTGCCCCTGGTAGCTAGCAGTACGGGATGTTCTTACTCCCGAGTCCGCCAGCGGTAAAACTGATGCTTAAGACGTTTGTGTGGTATTTGAGTGCTTGAGACTGAAGGCTTATACACAATTGCGAAATGGAACTGTAATCTGCATCCAGGAAGCAGCGCCATCGTGTACTCCAGTTTTAGAAGATAAGATGCTATTCTCGCAGACAACTTTCTGTAACTATCTCACTATGCAGTAAAAGCAATGGGCATACGTTCACTTGCGTATCTTGTACGCCTATTCAAAGTGTGGATGCGCACTCTTCACTTCTCAAATTCTCGAAAAATATTTCCGCGGTTATACCAAGAATTAGCTGATTGAGGTGCTGTTCATTCGCGAATGGGAAGCTAACACCTTATATGTTTTATAGCCCTTGCTTTCTTTATTTGATTTAAAACCCGATTTTTAATTATTGAACTGGCCATTACAGTTGTGGCGTTGTTGCTAGCACAGCGATGCTATTGTGGTGACCGTGATAGTGGCACACGAAATGCCCTTATTTGTACACCTGGCGAAAAAGCCGGTGAGCATTCCGGCGCCGTGCTTGACCTTGGCGCCAGCCAATCACGGCAGTCGAATTCCTCGCCCACTTTTTTTGTCAAGTGTCCAGTTTAGAGATCCAGGAAGTGTGGGTCCTCTTTCAGCCAATGGGAGAACGGAGTGATCTCGACATATCCCCTTCTGTACGCGCTTTGCAAGTGGGTATGGCCTTGGGCCGCGCCCACAGGGGAGAGAGAGAGAGAGAGAGAAAACTTCTTTATAGACCGTTAGTTCAGGATGTCAAGGGGCCTTCAGGAAAGTGCTCTCAATCTCCAACAAGTGCGTTCGTTTTGTACAACCTAGTCAGGCATCGCCCGGCGCTGACAACATTTCGCGTTACTTTAAAGATAAAATTACAGAGAACAGATGTCTTTGAGGCGCCGACTAATATTTAGTGAGGTTTTGAAGATTGTTCTTCGCGTGCATTTTATCGTTAACGCGGATCCTCATCGTACTAGGGCTCTGTATTTAGGGTCTTTTTACAGCGGAGCTGTTAAGGGCTAGTTTCCCCAGGATCGTGACCCCCTCAAAGAAATGAAGACACCGAACTCTGGACAGCTACCGCCATCTATCAGGGACGGCGGCAAGCCACGTATCTGGATGCCGGCGCTGCTCATAGATGGCGGCAGCCTTTCCACTCTGGCTTGCCGACTTGCGGCCGGCCATTAGTTTCCGTTGTACAGCTCCGCTGGTCTTCCTTCTTCACCAGAGTGGAAGGGCTGAAAGTTTTATTTTCAAGAAAGGTTTCTCCTCCTCCCCCTTATCTTAGTACAAAAGCGATATACGAAAAGTTTTTAATGGTGTAGCTTTTAGAAAAAATCTGGTTACGTATGGCATAAAAAAAAAACTAGATAACACTATTTACTTTCCGCGAAAGCGCGCTCCCAATAACTGTTAGTCGTCGATACCCGTAAAAGAAGGTACCATTTATGATTTTTGTTCACTCTAGTTTATGCTTGTAAAACAGGAAATCGGAGGCTCTGAAAAATACGTGGTTTACTCGGATCAATTTTGCTGCTGTTTTACGGTTCATTGGAGTCTAGGGCCTTTTTAGGTCTTTTGTGCGACATACAAATTTTAATATAGAAAAACATCTAAATTGTTTTGGGAATTGTCTTATTTTAATCCCCACCCCTGCCCGTTTTCATAAATGGCCGTTTCCACAGGCCCCCTCAGGCTGCCAGTGCTATTACAGCGTACTGTGGTTGTACTGTACAGATTGATTACAACTTTTGCTATACAATTGAAACGTCAAGCAGCATGCTGGGTTTGTACGTTAACAAGCTGCATGCATTGGTGCCTGGACAATTTGTGCATGAATTCATCATCACCTAATTTTAACGTAGGATACAAAAAAGTGAAAGCCGTTTACAAATCCCTGTAACGCCGAATTGGAGCGCAGCTCTTGAGGAGGAGGAGTGAAGGGTAGTGAGGGGAGGGTAGACCCCTCCCCCTTCTCCTCCTCCTCCCCTCATTCTTTAATATGCTCCGGGGGGGGGGTCACGTGACCTCGGGGGGGGGGGTGTCACGTGACTTCGGGGAGGGGGTCATGTGACCTCGGGGAGGCGTGACCTGGGGGTCACCTCAAGGTCACGTGACCCCCAAGGTGACCCCCACGTGACCTTGGGGGTCACGTGACCTGGAGGGGTCACATGACCTCGGCGGGTCACGTGACCTCAGAGGGGTCGCGTGACCTCAGAGGGGTCACGTGACCTGGGGGGTCACGTGACCTTGAGATGACCTTGGAAGGGGTCACGTGACCTTGGGGGTCACGTGACCTCGGGGGTCACGTGACCTTGGGGAGGAGACCACGTGACCTCGGGGGTCACGTGACCTCAGAGGGGTCACGTGACCTCAGAGGGGTCACGTGACGGGGGTCACGTGACCTTCAAAGGGTCACGTGGGGTCTTGGGGTCACGTGACCTTGAGATGACCTTGGAAGGGGTCACGTGACCTCGAGGGGTCATGTGACCTTGGGGGTCACGTGATCCCAAGATGACCCCACGTGACCCCCAAGGTCACGTGACCTTCAGGGGTTATGTGACCTTCAGGGGGTCACGTGACCTTGAGATGACCTTGGGAGGGGTCACGTGACCTTGGGGGTCACGTGACCTTGGGATGACCTTGGTTACGCCGACGCCGACGGCGACGCCGACGGCGACGGCGACGCCGACGCCGCTCAAGCCGGGTACGGGCCCCTAAGAGCTGCGCTCTAAAAGGGAACAAGCAGGTCGGAGAGCAGCACTGTTCTAATGTATCTCCCCACAAGGCAAAGCTGATGTTGGCCAAGGAGCGGCGGTCCGCTCCCCCCCCCCCCCCCCCGACACACACACACACAAACACACACACAAACACACGCATTCCGAAACAAAAACAAAACAAGGTGAATTCCTCGGGGAAGATTATTAATGTCCGAGTGTTCTGCAGACCGTGCGATGCACACCACAAGAGACTGGCAGTGCCTGGTATGCAAAGAAATTTGGAGCCAAGCAGCCCAGCTTTCAGTATAAATCGGGTGCATGGAAGGGAAGGAGTGCGTTGCAGTTCAAACAAAGTGTTTCAGTTGTTTTAGAGCGCAGCTCTTAGGGGCCCGTTTCCGGCTTGAGCGGCGTCGGCGTCGCCGTCGCCGTCGCCGTCGCCGTCGCCGTCGCCGTCGGCGTCGGCGTAACCGCGCGGTGCATCATGGGAAATGTCCCATAATGCACCGCGCGAGCCCCCCACCGGGGTCACGTGACTTCGTGGGGGGGCACGTGACCCCCCCGAGGTCACGTGACCCCCCGAAGTCACGTGACTCTCCTGAGGTCACGTGACCCCCCGAGGTCACGTGACCCCCGGCGATGTCGCGTGACCCCCCGATGACGTCATCGACACTGATGACGTCACCGGCATCCACATCGTCATCGTCATCATCATTGATGACGTCAACATCAGTGATGATGACGATGACGATGCGGATGCCGGTGACGTCATCAGTGATGATGACGATGACGATGTGGATGCCGGTGACGTCATCAGTGATGACGACGATGACGATGTGGATGCCGGTGACGTCATCAGTGATGATGACGTCATCAATGATGATGACGTCATCAGTGACGATGACGATGTGGATGCCGGTGACGTCATCAGTAATGATGACGATGTGGATGCCGGTGACGTCATCATTGATGATGACGTCATCAGTGATGATGACGATGACGATGCGGATGCCGGTGACGTCATCAGTGATGATGACGATGACGATGTGGATGCCGGTGACGTCATCAGTGATGATGACGATGACGATGTGGATGACGGTGACGTCATCAGGGATGATGACGATGACGATGTGGATGCCGGTGACGTTACCAACATCCGCATCGTCATCGCCATCATCACTGATGACGTCATCAGTGACGTCACTGATGTCGTCACCGGCATCCACATCGTCATCGTCATCATCACTGATGACGTCGTCAGCGACGTCACTGATGACGTCACCGACATTCGCATCGTCATCGTCATCATCACTGGTGAAGTCATCAGTGACGTCACTAATGACGTCATCGGTACCCGCATCGTCATCGTCACTGATGACATCATCAGTGACGTCAGTGATAACATCATCGGCATTGGGGGTCACGTGACCCCCAAGGTCACATGACCCCCCCCCTGGTTAGTCTAACCCCCCCCCCCAGCGCCCTTCCCTCCTCCTCCTCAAGAGCTGCGCTCCAATTCGGCGTTACAGGGAGTTGTAAGCGGCTTTCACTTTTTATTCTGGAAACTGAACGCATATCCGTTTTTTTTATGCGTATCTCATTGTACCCCACAGCGTTGTCTCATTTTGCCTCTCAGGGCGGGGCAAAATGAGACATAGTGTGACTTTCAGGTATTGTAGTTTTGTTTAATGTTCGGAGAGGTCCAGTTAAATAATATCTACTGAGCATAGAAGCAACACATCCAAGAACATCCCCATTCTGTGTTTTTCTTAAATATTAAATAAAAAAACTAAAAATTACCGTTGAAATTAAAATTTTCTGTCTCAGTTTGTCCCACCTTGCCTTAAAACACATTGCCATATTTGGAAGATTAGAATCCTAAAAACGTCCCCAATTCGAATCTCTCGTCACGTTGCAGTCGTCGCAATTCTATGCAGTTTTATACTTGCACCTACCACAGTTTCGCAACGTCGTGGATAGCACGCTCCTGATGTCAGTACGCTAAGTAGACTTGAGAACTTCCTCTTAATAGGTATCTTATATTTTCTGCGCAAATAGTGTCTCTATATAATGAGACATAAAGTATCAGCCCTAGAGACGGAATCAGCGCCCCCCCCCCCCCCCCCATCCCCCTAAAAGTTTTGCTCAAATTGTCATTTTCAAAGTTGAGCCTTCTGATTTAAGATGATAGCCCAAGCGGTCATAAACAACCACTATAACACTGACAAGTTAAGAACTCCAGAGAAAAACTTGAGCTGTCCCACCTCCAGCGCTAGTTTCCTTCATTTCACAATGATTCTGCCTCTGCGAGCAGCCAAAGCATAACGGGAGCTACAGAGCGTGTGGTGAAGGTCAGGCGTTCGAAAGACGCGCCCTGCTCTTCTCATTCTCTGAGGGACTATACAAACCGACTCTTACTACTCTTGCTAGCTCAAAATAAAGATTATGTACAATTATTCAAATCAGAACTTGCGAATTTCGATATAAGATAATTGCCTCCATATTTCACATTATGATTTTTTTTTAAATAGTAAATGCACCATTCAAATGCCCTATATTTGTCTTAAGGCGATGTAATTCTACATCCACTTTGAACTTTTTTTTTTAAGAAACAAAAATATTGTCAGTAAAAGCCCCGTTATGCAAAGGAATATACACGGAATAGTTAAATATACACACATTGACATAGCCGTTGGCCTGCATGAATTAAAAATTACGACCTCTTCTCGGTGCAAACGGTTATCTAGCTTTCCCGTGAACCACACTACCCAGAAACCTCCAACAAAGTGCCGGAACGATAAGAGATCCCTACACAGTTAACTGCTTCTTTAAAAAGAGAAAAATGCGACTCTTGGTGTAGGAACTTTTTCACGTGCCCCGAACGAAGAAAATGTTTTATTTTTATTTTATTACAAATTATTGTAAGGTTATGCGTCCTTGCATATTAATATTGTTCATTTTTAAAAGTGTATATTAATTCATTAAGCTTTTCGTGTACATGTTATTTCGACCACCAGTATTGTGAGCACTGCTTCATTAGAACCGCGATAAAGAAAGTTTCCAGATATATAAAAAAATTTTTTTGCCTTACTTCCCTTCATCGACTCTTCGTAGAATTCTTTCTCCAGTTTCTTCATTACTTCTGGATCTGAAGACTCCCCTGGACCTGTGTACTCCGCTGAATATAAAATATAAAAGCACTTAACCTAAAAGGATCCAATTAAGTTTCTCTTGCAGGATGGCTTAATTTTATTTGCTTTCCTAGGAAGGTTCTCAGTATCAAAAGAATTAATAAGAAATTAGACTTTAGAATTACACCTATAACATCTGGAATTACACAGCAATTGAATCGTGACAAGATTATTTTAAATGATATTCGTGTTATATTTTGCGCTTGCATTGATAGCTATATATAGATCCCGATGGCAAAAAAGAAAAACAAAAAAACTATTGTTTCATATCTGCACAAAAGAATGCATCACAGACATTAGTATGAATCACTACGTTAGTGGTCATGATAGAACTCAAAGTGGTCGTGATAGAATTGAATTCATGACGTTTTATATAAAATATATATTTAAAAACATATCTCTATTAGCCGTTATTCTTTTGGACTTGTGTTTCGTCCGACAAAGAAGGGACATTGCGGGCGCCTGTGCTACTTCAGGTAAAACAACGAGAAATTCCGGCAAGAAAAACAACAGCAACATTGGCTTCTTGTTTACAAATTTTCTCACGGGAAGAAATTCCACAGGAGCCTACATAGCCTATCGTACACTGATCTCGGGCCTTTTAATGGACGTCGACGCATAGCGAAATTAAACTTTGCTTCGTGATATTCGGATCCAGGTAACGTCCTATATTCTTTCTCAAGCTATCCCTATCCTCAAGTTAGCACTAATTTTAAGTTTTCTTTTAGTACTAGTGTATTTATGCAAGCACAAAATTCGGATTTTTTTATCAAACCCCGTATATGAACAGGTGGTAAACAAAACGCTTTGCTGATAAAGAATTTAACAATACAGGACTTTGCGAGCACAATTCACTCCAGTTTTTTGTTCAATCGGAACCTAAACATTTGAAGCAATTAACTATGGCATGGCACCGGCAAACGTCGGTATCATGCCCTAAGTTTTCCCCGGCTATAGGAGGCGAAGCGGAAAACGCATTGCTTCATGCTGTGGGCGATGCAGTTTTCAGTTCGTTTTTTCCTTTAATTTCGTGGATGAGAACATGCCAGGGACGGCTGTTCGTAAAAAAAGAGAGGCATCCCAAAATGCTTCGGGAGGCTCGCAATAAAGGTTCTTACTGTAAAGTCCGCCGGCAAGAAAAGTCATGTTTATTGTGTTTTTCGGTTTCCCAGTGGGTTTCTTCACTCCTACATCATATTGTTCTCTGAAAGTATAAAGAAACAGCCTGTCAGTCAATCTCCTTGTTTATTATGAAGGCAAAACAAAGCTAGAATAATGACTTACAATCCTCCCGAGGAGTTTTTAAACTCCAAGAAGATATGAAGTGGCCAACCTTCTTCCGGTTTAGGAGACTGCACCATCTCCATCGAGATGCAGGTTGCGTTCACATTGATCAAAGAAGCGTTTTTGTCAGGATTATCTTTTCTCCAGTATGTTTTATCATCAACGTTTTTGATGAGCTGAAACAACAACGAAAGGAGGCATTTTCAGTGGGTGTCTTTTTTTTTTCGGGTCTGAGTGCTTTCAACACTTTTACATAGGGACCGTTAGGAGGTGCGGTAAGAAGCGCAGTTTTGCTCTTCACCGCAGTGTGCGTTGAGATCCAATATCGTGGATTGCTTAGGTCTTTTAACTGCCTTCTTACAAGTTAGAGACTTTCTTTACTGGTTTGTGAATTCCGATTCGTCCATTCGCCGAATCTCTCTTTTTTTGAAATATTGTTCGCCACCCGTTTGTACATAGCCACGCCACTAGACATTTTTCGCATGGGTATCAAGCACTAAAACGGCTAGGGCTAGTTTGCTATAAAAACAACATATAAGCAATGGTGGCGCAACTGATACAGTAAAAAAAATTTGCGCATGACCGCCTATTTATTCGAAGGGAATTCCCTTTAAAATCTATCGTGGCGCCTCTTTTTTCTGATGCCCCGCTCATTACCTGTACCAAAATCGTGGTGCATAAAGAAGAAAAGAAAAACGTCTACGCATTCTAATCTTATTTTGCCCTTTTAACTTCAAGGCCAAAAAAAATATTTAGTACAGGTTTACAGGCCCAATATTTTGTAGGATGAATAAATCAATATGGTAGACTTTTGTTCACGCATTTATCATTTTGTATTTTTACATTTCACCGAAGAATTATGAAGACCACAGAAAAAGTCTTAAACGACATAAATAAATAAATAAACACATCAGCATCTTTAAAAAAATCTCGCGCATAATATCCCTGTCAGACTGCCAATTTAATGTCAGTTCCATTGAATGACAGTTGAGCGATCGGCCAATCAGCGCGCGGCACCCCGGGCGTAGCGTGTTTTGCGCGCGACAGATCGCGAGCTGATTTGCCGATCACACAAATGTCATTCGATAGAACTAACAGTTAATTGCCAGTCTGACAGAGGTATAAGACTCACTTCTCCATGGCCATATTGTGAACATTGTATTTTGAGGCATATACATGGTTGTAATTAAAAATCTGCAGACGGGGAAGATCTTACACTGAGACACTCGTTTCCATGTCTGCAGCAAAAAGCTAGAAAAAGGAATGCAAGTTGCGCATACCTGCGGGGCACGGTTCCCAAAATTTTGACTTATACAATTTAGAATAAAAAAATTAATATTGTTTTCTAAATGTCTGTATTGAAGAATCAACCCTTCTTAATAAGGAGCAACTACAAATAATCACTGACTAACTAAATGTATCGCTGCCAATTACTCCTCCTACGAATGTATATATGTAATGGGTCTATCGAGAGATTAGAATGCTATAAGTGCGGTTTCAATTAAGAGAGAAAAAAACATACTTTTTCAAAGAGGTCTTCTTTTTTCTTAGCAGCGTGAACGACGGCGGGGAGGGTAAAGAGAATGGTACACGTCAGGAACAGTAGTTGTCGCTGCAGTTTCATGTTTGCAGAGCCAGGCGAATGGTAGAACCCGATAGAGGCGTGTTCGGTTTTATTGCTTCTACTCTAAGCCACGTGACCATAAGCAGACGAATGGGCGTGAAGAGTATATTTTTAATTTACTCAGTTTTTAATTAAATGAATTCTCTATGTTTTTTTTTTTTTTTGTTTTTTTTTCATATCAACGTTCTTCCGCCATCTGCCGCACAGGCGTTTCGTAATGTTAGCATTGTTTGAGCATCCTTTTGTTTGTGACAACTGTTTTGCAGTTTCTGAGCAGCTCTAACGCTTAAGAAAATTTCGGAAACTACGTAATTTGTTTTGAAGGGAGGTGATTGATCCAGTGAACATGGTGGCCAATCTCGGAGTTTAGAAGTATTTTTTAACGAAAATTCTATTTTTACAGATCATTTCTCCAGTTTGGGGGGGGGGGGGGGGGAGTTTATTTTGGTAAATCTTTACAATGTCAGGCTAGGTTTAGTCAAGAAACTCTCTTCTCTATTATTATCCTATATGTTTTAGGAGTCGGCGAACGCGTTTGTTAGCACATCACGGCTCCGAGTGGGTGGACTAAAAAATGAGCTGCAGAACTGTGATATCCCAGGACAGTCAACACTCGTGTCGTTTTGAAATGGATGAGCATCGTACCGGAACGCGCTAGGGAAATCATTACCGTGTTATGTTCCGAAAAACAAGAGGCGAAGAGATGTCCTGCAAAGCACCCAGCTAAGCTTCAACTCCAGGCGCAATTTCAAGACGGATTAGGTTCCCGCTATCTAAATTTCCACGCAGTACATTTAATTTTATTTCCTTGACTGACGGTGTATATATGATGTCGTTCATTATTTGCTAAACGTGGTTGTCCAGTTTTTTTTATGCCCATTCTTGATTTAAGCAGTGTGGTTCCTCAACCATCTCTGTTAGCATTTTTTTTTCTTTCATTTTTGTCAGTTTCCAGCTATCAAATAAATATAGGGGGAATGTTCTGAGAAACATCTCGCGCTTCTGAAGTGCTTATTGAACGGAATCACATCAAATCGTAAAAATTAGTTTTTTTTTTTTTGCAAATTGGCTTTTTTTTATGAATGCATAGATGCAAGCTTTGAATTGAAAAGAAAGAATGTTACAGCACTAATATTTGGAGCTGATATTTATATTTATTTTTATATTCAAGTAGAATATCAAAAACAAAGTTTTAAAATAAATCTATTCTTTGTTCAGAGTGGTACCGTCAGGAGAAACGCAAACACAAGAAACTCGCGACACGTGTTTCTTGTTTCTTTTTATCCCCCTCTAATGTCGAAACAACAAAAACGTAATCGACACATCAAAATAGTTTTAAAAGAAACGACTGTCGGTTTGTGTTAAAAAAAGAATCCGCTCTTGATGCCTTTGATTTTGTAAGTTTGACAGTATAGCTACTATATAAAACTAGGTAATTGAGGGCTCTAATATTTTGTACAAATACTTTATTATCACAATAATTCATACTACAGAGGCAATTATGTTTTAGCTTACGCAGGAGGTGCAAAAATTTCAAGAGCTTGCCGTTTTTACACTAAACAATTGAGCCGCTTTCGGAGTTGACTTATTCAAGCACCATCATCGTTTGATCGTGCCACGGGCGCTCCTAATGGATGCGGGGACGCTCCGCCATTTTGACTCATGTGCGTCCCAGCATGCACTAGCTTGGCGGTATACTTGTTTATGAAATCCACCCAGCGCTTTACTCAGCATAGCCCCCGGGCACCACCATGTTCAAAATAAAGGGGGAAAAAAGTTAATGAGAAGGCCTATGATTTGTGACTAACATATCCGGGCGCCGAGTTTTTATATTTCGATATCAGTGGAGGAATTCGTTTATAATTGTAGTAAAATGATATTTGTTTAATGTCAATAATAATTACACGAAACTCGCGACATCTCTAAATTTATTAAATATGATTTTGCCAGATACGTCATCGAAGAAAAGAGGCGGGGAAGATCCCGGTTCGGGCAACACCTTCCATATAAGAAGGCCTAAGTGCTGAATTTTTCTGCGTCCCTAAAAAAAGGCCACCGCTGGCCAGAGATTGGACACGACTACAGCTGTAGCGTTGGGCTGAAACCCGTGTTCAATGAGAGAAGACGACTCCTATACTTCGGTTCACCTTAAGCCCAGACGCAGCCAATTCTACGAGCTGATGTGACCAATCAGAGCGTCAAGAGTGCACCATTATAATGTTCGCCATGTTTCTTTGCGTCTTCTATTATCGTTTCATCGCTGAACCAATAATAAACAGAAATGGCCTAGTGACTTGCGCTTTTGACGCTGCTTGATTGGTCCCATGACTGTGTAACATCATCTGCGTCTGGACTTAAGCTGATACGAAATGTAGCCGAACGCTGACGCCGTAGTCGCGAATGATCTCTGGCCTACGCTGGCCTTCTTTGGTGACAGGAAAATTTATAACTTAGGCTTTTTTATTTAGGAGGTGTTGGTTTGGGAGTAAAGGGGGGGGGGGGGGGGGGGGGAATTTGGACTTGCTGTTTCGCGCACAAAAATGTTTTTTCGCGATAATGTTTTTTACGACTATCACCCCATTTCTAAGCGCTTAAGGCCGTAAAATTATTGCTGTTCGGGTTGTCAACGGTTTTTTAAAGCGGCGATACAAAGATAATAAGTTTGAATGTTTTTCACTTGGCACGGGTTCATTAGCGCTAGTGTGATCCAAGTATGTGCGCCATTAAGCTGCAACAGCACTGTTTATGCAGTTCTGAAACAGAACTGCATAAACAGTGGTGTTGCATGTTTTCTAGAGTCATGAAGTTAATGTCAAGTTAGGGGGGGAGGGGGCATTACTAATGCCCCCTCCCCCCTAATTTCGTTAAAATATTCATTTGAAGCTGTGCTTCAAACGAATATTTCAACGAAATTTGAAATATACCCTTCGTTTTCAGAAATTGGCTGCATATGGTCCACAATATCTGTGAATGGTGAACGTACGTTTGTAATTTGAGCATGATGGCTGATTTTTTCGTTATAAATGGCCCACTCAGACAAGCGCTCGGAGAGCAGCCAGTGGAGAGCACGTGACATTCGGCGCAATCGCGACGTAGCCTGTGTCGGGACGAGCAAAAATGCGGCGAGGCTGATGTCAACAAGACGGTTGCAGGCAGGGCGTCTGGCCGCCGTTATGTCTCTGCTCGTGCGGGCAAGTGCGCGCAATTACAATCTTGCGAAAGCTACGTTCACGCACACGCTCCACATGATTGCACGCATGGAGCACCAATGAGGCTAGTGGTGGCGTGCGCGAACGACAGGGGGCGCTTCTCTAGCTATCATCATCATCGTTTGTAGCGTCACGGGCAGAAATAAAACTGGGACAGACCGCGCAGATCTTGAATTCCTCGGCTCGTCAGCTCGCTTCATGCTCTGTTTGGGTAACGTGGTACGGCAAAGCATGTTTCACGCGTCGTATTTATTTGGTGAAGTAATATTTGTAGTAGGACATTTTACAAAAGTTTGAAACCGTGGAACGCGCAGTCGTGCTAACAAACACTTTCGGAGCTGAGGCCTCGAAGCGCCGGTATGGTGGTGTGCTGTTGCTTACCCCAGTACAAAACATATGAATGATGAAAAAAGAATATCCAGTGCTTTACTCCATTACAAAATCTACCACGGCAAATAGGGTGTATTTTTATCATGATTCGGACAAAATAAAACTGCGAAAGGAATGTCCCACCAAATATAAAATAGGAAAGCGAAATTCGAGAACCTCTTGTGTGTGAAGTAAACACTTCAGTGAAAGCAATTCTATGTGTCCTGTTGGTTCCAACGTGTTCTGTGAGTGCTGTTTTCTTATTAGTTCCAAGTTGACTCCTTCTTGTTTTAGTTTTGTAGACCAGTAAAAAAATATTTTTTCGAAATAACTGGCAGGAAAGAGCACTCTGCCGATAGCTCTCTTTTGGAGTCGTTTCAATTAAATATCTCCTTACGATTCCGATCGACAAGAAAATTGCTAGACACTTTTGCGTTCGAAGTCTTAAATGTAGTTATTTGATGACACATCAGCATACCAAATAAATAAGGAATACACCAGCTATCAATTACTACCGTTTGTATCTTAAATTTTGAAGGTTCAAATGTGCATATTGCGTCATGCGCTTCTCAGTGAGTGATTTTGAATTTTGAAACAACTCTTAGTAAAAATATTGTTGAACAATTTAATCAATCGCCTGAACTTGCCGTGCCAAGTCCGACAATTTAATAATTCATGAAATTATTTGCTTTACTTTCGAGCAGAAATCGCGATGTGACAAACGTTTTTGCCATGCATTCGATGCGGGAGGAGCTAAAACTGCCGAGTCAAACTTTTATCAAAGAGTCGGTATCGGCTACCTCAATGTAACTAAAAGAAGTGTGCGGCGCTTTGCAACACAACTGTGCGCGCGTGGACAGCTAAGAAGACAGCAGGTCATTTACTCTGGTGAGTGCAAAACATTTTTTCTACAGCAGCCTACGCAGATCCGAAAAACAAGAATCCGAGAGGCTGTGAATAGCCCTGACGCGCGCCGCGCGAGCTGTAACGTGAACCTTCAAGCTTGTTTTCGAACATTTTAAAGTTTGTATTGTAATATAAAAAGCCACTTCTAGGCGCTGTTATTCGCTGATAGCATTGATGACTTGGAAAATATACAAAATCTTGCTGCGCGGTATGTCCTGGGCCAGTACGACCGTTTTTTTTAGTGTAACTAACACGAAACGATCACAAGGATGGTGGTTATTGAATCTTCGGCGAAAGATTCAGGGTTGTAATTTTTATACTACATTTATCATAAAATTACTAGCATTAATTGCTCAGCTTACCTCATAAAGGCAAAATATTTATCCAAACGGAATGATCATGTGCACGGAACTCTGCAAAAATTCGTTCTTTGTTTAGACAGTCAAAGTCTTTTTTTTTTTTTTGTTAGGACGGTCAAAGACGTGTTTTGTACGCAGCTCAAGATACGCAGTGCTGTGCTTG